CTCTTCGAGCACGTTCTCCAGCCCTAAGTCGTGGTCTTCGATAGATTCGTCCTCGAACTCTCCGGGGTTAATAACCACTTCCGTATCAGGCCAGTCCCGCGCGCCTACGCCCAGCGCCTACGCACGCCCGCGCCTAGTGCCCTGCCAACTCGCGACCGTGCGGAAATTTTGGCGAGCTCGAGAGTGTTCTTGACTAAATGTGCATGTTTTTAGTGTGTGTTTGTGGTGTAGCTATAAATAGACATCTTGCTTTGTACTTTTGGAGAATTCCTCATTTTGCTAAATTTTTCTTTTTAGTTTTTTGCTCTCTTCTCTCTCTAATTTTCTTTCTCTCTCTAAGGGCTCCAAGACCCTGTTTTTATTGTAATATTTCTTGTTCGTTCCATTTTTGTTAGTGTTCTCGCGTTTACTTTATGTTTATTTTTCCCCATTCTAGATATTTCTTTTTGGCTTTTGGTCCATTTTGAGTCTCGTCTTGCATTTCCTTTCTTTTGTTCGTTTTTGGTCTTTTTGTTTCTTTTCTCTGGTTTTCCGTGAGTTTCTTGTCGGTGGTGATGTGCAGGATGAGTTGCTCGTTGTATGACCATGTGAGGACTTCCATATAGGCGGATGAGTTGGGCTCGAGTAGAAAGAGACGGAAACCGATTCCGAATCTGGATGCGTGCATACGAGGCCGAAAAGTCACCTTGCCTGAAAGAAAAGCCTTCCCCGCAGCCAGCGACGATGCTTACGCGGCCCGCGGGGAGCAAAATACCTTGCGCCCAGTTTTACACGCCGCGGCCCGCGACTCTTCCTTCACCGCGGCCGCGGCGAACAAAAAAGGTCCCAGAGGTCCGAACTTCAGCGCAAAAAGTCCCGCAGCCTCGGCAGTTGGTCGCGGCCGCGGAGGTTTTTCGCCGCGGCCCGCGGAGGCCGCGACGTCCAGAATTTTATAGCTAGATTTTGGGATCATTTTTCATTATGTTCTATGTTAGGTTTTGTTCTTTCTCGTACGAAATAAGTTCTAGAACCCATATTTTTTCACTTGTTTCTCTTGGGGATCAATCTTGAGGGTGAAAACTTAGAGATTTGACTCTTGGATTTGGTTTTTCTATTGTTCTCGACATTGGATTCGTTAATCGTAAGCTTTACTTTCGTTTTCCTTTCGATTGAGATGGATTTGATTATTGAATATGTTGATGTTGAATGCATAATGAGTAGCTAAATTCATTAGCTAGGGGTAGGGGATTATCGGTCCGGTTCGATTTCGTTTAAATGCTTGGTAATTGCTCATCTTTCCGAGTTGTGCTTAACCTAGGGTTTGGATGCTTTATCTCCATCTTAATCTAATTAATCAATTTAGAACCGAAAGGGGATAAATTGTTCGATCTAGGCTCGTTAAGAATAGGCTTGTTCGGTAACGTATTGTCTATGTGCTAATTGATTCGTTAATGATTTGTTTATGTTTATTCTCTTATTTCGTGAGATATTGAGAATGAATCTCTAGATGAGTTAATTTATTGAGTCCTTTAGCCGAGTAATTCATTGCTTGCTAAGTGAATTGAGAACCGGAAGCGAAATCCCCGATACCCTAGCGCTTTTACCATAATTGTTCTTCGTCCTTGCTTACTACTTTCTCTACTTTATTTAATTATTTGCAGTAGTTGATAACTAAAAACCCATCCAATTATTTGATTTAGAATGTTTAGGAATTTTATTTCTTTTAATTATGTTGAGTAAACGTGCTTACTAATCTGGCTAAGCTTCCTTGCGATACGACCCGGTGTCGAATCTTTCGATTCTACTCTGGTAAAAAAATATTTACAACAAATTGGCGCCGTTGCCGGGGAAGGTTTAGGATTATTTTGTGCGCCTATTCATTTTGTTTTTAGTGTTTCTCTTGGTTTTATTTTATTAGTTTATAGGTTCTTGATTTTTTGTTCTTTGTTTTCCTTAGGTTTTTCTTCTTTGTTTATCTGGTGCTCGTGACGGTTTCTTGTCTTTGTGTATGCGTACCAGGAGTGGACGCAAACTGCTATCTCCAATCAACAAATCTGTCAACGAGAGCCTGAGAAAGCTGCTGGAAGAGCTTACTCTGGAATCGCACGGGGAAGACGAACATTCTCCAAAATCATCCGAAGGCAGCAACCTCGATATGGGTGAACGACATCAACAATTTTCCCGTAACACCCTTCGAACTTTGGCCCAGCCGGTTATCGGGCCAGTCACTTCATGCATCCGTTTGCCGGACGCTGCACGGAACTACGAGCTTAAAATGATTCATTACAATCAGTTGCCGGCATTCCACGGGCTTCCAAGCGAGGATCCACTCAACTTCATCCGGGAATTCTACAATGTCCTCAACACTTTCCCTCTTAATGACCTTAATGACGAGCAGTTGAAGCTGAGGTGTTTTCCCGAGACTCTGAAAGACCGGGCCAAGGCCTGGTTCATGACACTTGCACCTGGCTCTCTCACTACATGGACCGAGGTGTACTCGAAGTTCATTGGGAGGTATTACTCCCATCAGAAGACTCAAGAGCTCCGGTCACAGATCGTCTCATTTGCTCAATTACCGAACGAGTCTCTTCATGAGGCTTGGGAGCGGTTCAAGGATCTCCAACGGCAGTGCCCCCATCACAACCTCTCACCGGGGCTACTCATGAACTGTTTCTATGATTCCCTCCACCAGAACTTGCAGTATATGGTCGACAACGCGGCGGGAGGTGATATCGGAGCAAGGACAGCCGAGGAGATGTTTGAGATTTTTGAGACAATGAGTACGAACTCGTCGCAGAAGAGCACGCGAGGCAAGAGGGCAGTAGTGAACGAGGTCGGTACAAGCAATGATACGGTGGCCCAACAGCTAGCTGAGCTTACTGAGCAGATGAGGTTGCTTACCGCACGAAGTTCTCAGCCGGTTAATACATTCGCTGTTGATACTTGTGGGGCGTGTGGAGTCCCAGGGCATAGGTCCAAAGTATGCCCCTCATCTTTCGAGCATGACCCCAGTGAGCAGTATGCGGATGCCAGTGCCTTACAAGGATACCAGAATCGGCCAGTCAATGACCCATATTCCAACACGTGCAATCCAGGATGGCGGAACCACCCGCACTTCTCGTGGTCAAACAACTCCAACACCCTTCAGCCACCCCGTCCGAACTTCATGCAGCAACAACCTCGACCCAGCTTTGTGCCCTGGCCAAACTTTCAGCCATAGCAGCCACAGCAACAGCAGAGGGGACCGGAAGCGGGGTCGAACTCGAACCTCCAAGACGACGTTGCCAAAATCCTTCAGATTATGGCCAACCGTGAGCAGAGGGATGTCAATCAGGATACCTCCATCAAGCGCATAGAGACACAGTTAGGCCAACTGGCCGCCAGGGTTGGGACCATTGAGACCGAGATGAACAAGGAGAAGTTGCCGAGTCAGCAAGCTAAAGCTATTACTGTGCTCAGGAGCGGGAAGGAAGTGGACAACAAAGTTCAGATGCCCGAGCCCGAGGATCATGAGACTCATCCAGAAAAGATCAAGGAAGCAGAGTCCGGGAAGACGACAGACGAGCCGGTGTTGCATAAGTCGCTGAATCCGTACAAGCCGCGCATTCCTTTTCCGGACCGACTTAGGAACGAGAAGCAAGAGAAACAGTTCCGAGATCTTTTCAGCATGCTTTCCAAGGTGAATGTCAACTTGCCGGTCCTCGACGTGATTAAGAATATGCCATCATATGGTAAGTTCTTCAAGGACTTGGTTACCAAGAAGAGGAAGTTCGAAGATGGAGAGAAGGTGGTCGTGTATGAGGCTGCAAGTGCAATGCAGCACGATTTGCCCAAGAAGGAACGTGACCCCGGTGGTTTCATTATCCAGATAGCTTTGGGGAACGGGAAGGTAGCTTTGGGGATGCTTGACCTCGGAGCCGGAATCAATCTCATGCCCTTCTCGATTTTTCAAAGGCTTGGCCTTGGGGATTTGAGGCCAACTCGCATGTGTCTCCAGTTAACAGACCGTTCCATCAGGTATCCCAAGGGAATAGTCGAGGATGTTCTCGTGAAGGTGGGTAAGCTTATCATTCCAGTGGACTTCGTTGTTCAGGACGTCGGGGATCTGCACGAGAATGGGAAGGATCACACCATCCTTCTCGGGAGACCTTTCATGGCGACGACTAATACCCTCATTGATGTGAAGAATGGTACTCTGAATATGACGGTTCTGGGGAGTCGGTGTCTATTTCTGTCCGAGGGGCCATGTCTTCATCTTCTGTCAATTTTGTAGAAGAATGTGCTTTTATTGATATTTCTGACCCTTTTGTGGATAAGATGATATGTCAGGAGTTCGAAGACGGATTGTTGCCGGCTTTTGAGGAAGAGGAAGAGCCTATAGTGGAGCTTTTTGAGGTAGGAGAAGGCCATACCCGAGCTGAAACCACACTCGAGCTTAAGGAGCTGCCCAAGCACCTTAAGTATGTTTTCTTGGATGATGCCTATCAGAAGCCGGTGATCATCTATGCTGAGCTTAACAGTGAGGAAGAGGAGGAGCTGATATCCATGCTCAGAAAGTACCAGAAGGCAATCGGGTGGAATCTAGGAGACATCAAGGGGATTAGTCCCTCTACTTGTATGCACCGGATTATCTTGGAGGATGGAGCCAAGCCTTTTCGGGATAGTCAGCGACGGCTAAACCCGAATATGATGGAGGTAGTGAAGAAAGAGGTGCTTAAGTTATTTTCTGAGGGATTGATCTACCCGGTGGCTAGTAGTGAGTGGGTCAGTCCTATTCATGTGGTGCCGAAGAAGGGAGGTATAACCGTGATCGAAAACGACAAGAAAGAGTTGGTCCCCACCCACATCACTACCGGGTGGCGTATGTGCATTGACTATAGGCGGCTGAACGCCGTGACCAAGAAGGACCACTTCCCGTTGCCGTTCATTGACCAGATCCTGGATCGTCTATCGGGCCACCAGTTCTACTGCTTTTTGGATGGGCTCTCCGGCTACTACCAAGTGGCCATAGCACCCGAGGATCAGCCCAAGACGACATTCACGTGCCCCTTTGGTACTTTCGCGTTCAGACGGATGCCCTTTGGCCTATGCAATGCCCCGGGCACATTTCAGAGGTGCATGTTCTCCATCTTCTCAGATATGCTTGAGGACTGCTTGCAGGTATCCATGGACGACTTCTCTATATTTGGTAATTCTTTTTCCCATTGTCTTCGCAATTTGTCTAGAGTCCTTGAACGTTGCATTGAGTCCAATCTGACCTTGAGTTGGGAAAAGAGTCATTTTATGGTTAGAAGTGGAGTTGTCTTAGGTCATATTGTTTCTTGTAGGGGGATTGATGTCGATAAGGCCAAGGTTGATGTGATTGAAAAACTCCCCCCTCCTGTGAATGTTAAGGGGATTAGAAGTTTCTTGGGCCATGCGGGGTTCTATAGGCGTTTCATTAAGGATTTTTCTAAAATTAGTCAGCCTCTTTGTCATTTGCTTGCCCAAGATGTGCCATTTGTATTTGATGATGCTTGTTTGTGTGCTTTTAATGAATTGAAGAGTAAACTTGTAAGTGCCCCGATTGTTATTGCCCCTGATTGGTCGATTTCTTTTGAAATCATGTGTGATGCGTCTAATCTTGCAGTGGGTGCCGTTTTGGGTCAACGAGTTGATAAATTGCTTCGAGTGATTTATTACCCTAGCTTGACCCTTAATGGGGCCCAACAGAATTATACTACCACCGAGAAGGAACTTCTAGCCGTGGTCTTTTCTCTTGAAAAAATTAGATCATACATTTTGGGTTCTAAAGTGATTATCCATTCTGACCATGCGGCTTTGAAGTACCTTTTGAGCAAAACTCATTCTAAACCACGGCTCATCCGGTGGATCTTGTTACTGCAAGAATTTGATGTTGACATTAAAGAGAGGAAGGGGTTCGAGAATGTAGTTGCTGATCACTTGTCACGCATAGTACCATCTGAATCATCATCTTAATTGATTACGCACCATTCCATTAATGATAATTTTCCCTATGAGCATGTGCATGCGGTGTCTAAAAGTGTTTGGTACGCTGACATTGTGAATTACTTGAGTTGTGGAAAATTGCGGCCTGATCTCTCTTCCCAAGAGAGAAAGCGTTTTGTTTTGTTGTGCAGGAGTTATTTCTGGGATGATCCATTCCTCTTTAAGATGGGAAAAGACGAGATTCTTCGGAGGTGTGTGCTCGAAGAAGAGCAATTGGATGTTCTCGCGTTTTGCCACGAGCTCAATTGTGGAGGACATTTTGGAGGTCAGAAGACCGCCTTTAAAGTCCTCCAATCAGGTTTGTTTTGGCCAACTCTCTTTAGAGATGCTCATAGTTTTTGCAAATCTTGTGATAGATGCCAAAGACTTGGGAACATTG